CACTGTAAAATTTCGCAGTTCTACTTATGACAAATCTTGGTAATCAACAATTATGATTTGTCATACTGTTAGTGGCTGAGAGTAATCTACAAATCTTCTACCTTAGTTTGTGTTTCTTAATTTACGTTCAGTAAACGATCTCGTACCCATGACAGCTTCCAAAGGCTAGGCTATTTTTACTTAGTTTAAATTACTGCTAAAAAAACTAAACTGGTCCATTCTTTTTGTTTAAGCGTCCTGTGATTAAAAGGACTTGCTAACGGTTGCCATTTAATGGAAAATGTGTTAAAATGAAATATAGCATCGCACAACACCCCTAGTCCAAGATTACTTGAAGAAAGTTTCCTACACATTCATTCGATATTACCATGCTCGTCTTATCGAATGTATTTGATTGAACAAATAAAATTGGTTATTTTTCACTTTAAGGACTTTAAAAACATATCGGATATGCAAATGCATCTCGAGAGCACTAAAAATCGAACTGGTGAAAAGGATAAGTGGGATTTAAGGGATCGGCTCCGTACCAAACACCACCGTTTGCTCTAAGAGCAAAATTGCCACTCCTGACTAAAACGGCTCGTACATTGAAAAACCAGTTTGACGGAAAGCACAGAGAGAAATCGGTGCTTAACCTCACGATTTTGATCTTAGTCGATGGCGCGCCTTGTGGTGACAACGACGACCGGCTTATCGTGGTCTGGCTCAAACAAGCGAAAACAATGAAGTCAGCATGAATACCAATCAGTTGGCAATCCATTGTACAGCTTGCTTTGTGAGAAATACATATGTTCCGGTCAGGATTGGGCTATCAAAGCGCGAATCCTCAATTCGTACCAATTTTTTTTTCATACTTGACAGCACCGTTGCGGGTTGGGGAAAAAGGAGAGATTTGGACTGTAGACCTTTTTCACAAAGTAAGAGAAAAGCTGGTAGGTAAAAAAAGGATTATTCAAGTTGTACAAAGCATGGTTGAATAAAGAGGAAATGGGGGTCGACAACAAAAAAGTACGAAAATATCCCGGTAAATCTTTTTGTAGGCCTTGCAAACCGGTCCTGAGAATTCATAACCTCGCAACGATAGATGTTCCAAACACCCCAAGGGACATAAAAGAATCAGCAAAGGAGGCCAAGACAGTGGCGGACTCCATACGGAAGAAGGTGAGCACAGAAAAAGAGAAAAGAAATTGCGGATAGCTAGGGAAAACAAGTGGCAGTGTTCTGCAATATACGCAGCAAAGCGGTCGATGATATAGACCAAAATCTATAAGACGAAGACAGAAGACAATTTTTAACGGAGACGTTTCATCTCTAATCAAGGAGAAATGGCCAAACAATGTATACACGAGAATGGAATTGTCATGCAGAAAAATCTTTAGTTTTCACTGGCCCCGAATTTTTCGAAGCGTATTTTCATAGAATACGAAACTCGCCAAGTGTTCGCGCATAACATGCGATTCATGAAATACGATTCATACATAGGAGAATACGGCGTTCTTCGAGGAAGAATGGTTAGTTCCAACAAAACCAGGCTGCCCATATAGAATTGTCGCTATGCTAAACTGAATACTGATGTATAGTAATTTTCGCGCATGTAACTGGAGTCGGAAGTAACGTAATAACTACTACCCGTTTAGCACCAAGAACATAAAGATGTAACATTAAGCTTACAAAACACCGGCTAAATGCTCAAACAGCCATAATAAATACCCATAGGTGAGGTTTAGTGTCTATATATATATGTAATGTCGTTGTCTTAAATATGCCGATTTCCATCCAATCCTCTTGTGTTTATTTAGTTTTATAAAATATTGCCAAAATGTCCTAAAGGTTCTCTCTTCCCCCATCCGTTGTAATTCCATTGTGCAGTAAGTGAAATCTGCAAATGAAAGGACTCTTGAAGTTTGTTAAGCTTGAAGATGTACTACTTTGTATATAAAGGGACTTAATGTGTAGGGAAGTAATGTTCAAAGGCAACTAGGCGTCAAATTCGAAGCATTTGAAGACAGAATTTCGAATCTGGAAGATGTGCCCCCCTCTTATCGACCATCTGAGGTTCAACTATCAAATGACTCGCGAATTGATCGAGAAAATATGTTGCGAACATCCGACTATTGTCAGTAAATTCATGTTTCTTTTTTTAAGCATTAGAAGTTTGGGTGCATTGTAGACTGGATGAAGCGCTCTCATTGGAACTCAACATTTCACCCTGCCGACAGTTTTGCACACAGAATTAGCACCGGTAACAAGAAACCGTGTTTTCTCATTGACATGAAGCATAGACTAAAGTCGGTAGCTCCAAAAGATACGTCTAAGGCCAAAGCTAAGCCAGATCTCGATCCTAATAAGATACCGATTTATGTTTGGCGAAATCGAAAGGGTCCTACACAATGGGAAATCCTTGGAGAACACGGCCATTAGCAGGAGTTTACACGTGCATCAATCAACAAGGACTATCTGAAAGAAAAGGCTTTGTGCACCACTTCATCAATTTCGACGACAATGCCTAGCCACACATGAAAAAATGTTGAGAAAAACCATGATCTTCCAGGAACTTAAGTGAAAAGCTTTCTACATCCACTATATGCTCCAAACCTCATACCAAGGAGTCACTATATTGTTGGTAACTAGAGAAAGAAATTCGTAATAAATAATAATAGTTTGAAAATAAAAAAATATCGTTAAAGATTGTTGTTGTTGTTGGTTAGACGAGTCCTACATAATCACATATGGATATTTTTGGCGAAAGGAGATAAACTGGTTGAAAATAGAAGAAGGCCGTAGAAAGCAGCATTGGATGCATGATGCTAGACTTTGAATCAAATACACTTTTGTTTAATGGAAAAACGACATTACTTACGATGCAATCAAATAGATTTTCATAACAAAGCTTTTGTATATAGACAACATTGGGATAACCAAGAGAAGTGCATAACCAATTTTAAAAAATTCTGATATTAGTGAAACTTTAGTAATTTTAGTAGAAAAATTAATGTACGTAACTTTGCAGAACTGCACTCCAATTCAAGTACGAGGACGTTACTTCTGTCTGTTTATTCTATTTATTTCGGAATAAAGCATTATCCGTAAGATAAAAACACTACCTTCAAAATATAACTTCACTTCTGCCTCCCAATCATTTGCGAAAAAGTTATTGATGAGATAGTAAAAGCTCTTAGGTTTACGTTTAGTAGGTCGTGAAAAGACCAATCTATACCCGAATCTTTTATATTCGATTTAAATTTGGCTCGGATGCATTCTAGACGTAAAGTAGGCCTAACATATCAAACTGAATGTAAATAAAAGGGTTACAATGATGTTTACTTCAGTTTTTTTAAACTTTCTATAGAGTAAATCATAACATTTACCAAGCTTTTCAATTTAAATATGAATCTGAGAATTCGCAAATAAATAGACTAGCTACTTAAAAAACCAAAATGCTATTGGGTTTGATTAATTTAATTGAAACTAATTGAATTTAATTGAGAATCCTTGAAGAATCTTGCTTAGAACTTCTATAATTTTTTATCTTTTAGATTTTGAATAATTTTTGCTGAAACACATATAAAAATGTTCTAGAAACTCTAGAAAATGTTTCTATCATTTTTTCATACTACATATGAAAATGTTTCTTACACTTTTTAGATTCTCGAAAGAAGATATTCACTGTACTTTTTTTTTAAAACGGGTAAAAATAGTGTGCTATTAACCATAAAGTCACTTGTTTAGAAAAATGCATCTATCTCTGCTTTAATAATGAGCCTTATATTTACCTGAAACCGATAATTTATACTATTTTTGAACGTTATTAGAAACTTGAAAATTTGCCGGTGTGAGTTTTAGCCACGAGTTTTAGTGACGAATATTGACTTGACTTACTCTTGTATTAGCATGATCTTTAGAAATTAGAGTTTAAAACCAGAAAAAAGCTAGAGTTTAACACAAACACGTTTAAAAATCTCGTTATACTAAGCTTTGCGTATGGCCTTAAGGTGTGACGGCCATAGCTGAAAGAAGCACATTAAAGTATTGTAAGGCGTAAAACATAAATTTATATGTTGGGTGTCTGAAAAATTCAATATTCAAATAGAGCATATTGCGATATCAAGTATGTATATATCGATGAATTTTACGATCGAGTTGACCCTTAGAGGTATAGGACTTCACTACGTTCAAACCAATTTACGTGAAAATTCCTTCATGTCAATAATGATCTGAGAAGTAGAGTAGCAACTGCTTATTAAATTCGATTCTAAAGAACACTATTTATATATAGACAAACTGCCACTCTGCCACTTAAATATTTTTCTTCAAAAGCTAACCAAATCAAGCAGAACAAAATCGGCACGGACTTATATTTCACATACCGATAAGTAGTTGCGTATTGAGGTCTTCTTTTTCTTGACTGTCCTTTTGAATGCACGTATGTAAATATTCCTACATTAGCAACATCCTACAGAAACAGTTGTACCGTATTCATAGGATTTATGTTAGAAGCAAAATGTATCTAAATCACTTTTTTTTAACTTATCACTAAATTTCGGTTTGTATTTCCCATTTCTTCCAGTTGTTCATCTCTTAGTAAAAAATCATCTTTGCGTTGAGCAAGCCTCAGTTCCTCCATAATTTATATGAAAAAAAATCTACTAATAGTGAATCAAAAACGGCAGTAATAAAGCGTGTTTTTCTCAGTTTGGAAGCGATATGGTCAGAGGATTAAACTATTACCACTGCGATTAGTTTTTAATTAGTAACCTGCTTTTCGCACAGGTATTCAAGTCCTTGTGGAGTGTTATTTTTGGCATCATTCGGTAATACTGCTTGAAACACGTTAAACCTTTACCGACTCTTATTTTATCGCAAAAACTTTTAGGTTGCTAAGTTTTTTTTCAATGTTCTTGCGCATAACCGCTGCGATGTTTGAATTTCCCGCTTGCGCCTTTGGCGGGTATGGCCATCTTTAAATTCAGTCAGTTTGAAATCGATGGCTGAGCGCGCTGCAGTAGCGGAACACTAACGGGAATCGTTGCTCATCTCTTCAGTTCGGAATCAGAGTTTCGGCGACAGCCAACCAAGTTTAGTTTATTAAGCACCTGCAATTAAAAATGGGTCCAAACGATCGCCTAGCTCAATTTAAAAATCACGGGAAAGATCTTGAAAGTGGCCGGTTGCGTCGCAAGGAAGACGTTATCGAATTACGTAAAGCTCGTAAAGATGAGCAGCTCTCAAAACGACGCAACATTCATTTGGATGCAGAGGAAGGTGACTTCGACGAGAGTGACAACAACAATCCAATTACGCCTTCAAAAACAGGGGATCACCAGTCCATTCAGGACATCGAACAGCTCGTGAAGGGTATGTAGATTGTCGAGTCCATCTATAAGGGCCCTGCTTACCCAGCCTGGATATGCTAATATCACTGAAATCAAATAATATTCTCTGTGCATGTTATCTAGTAGCGCCATGTCGAGAAATATGGTCCGATGATTAAAAGACTTTGCAGACATCTAGGACACGGTAGTTGCGCTGATGGACATTGATTGTGTGCATGAGTAGGCCAAATTTTTCCAAACAAAGAAATTAAGATTTTCTTATAAGTTCACATGAGGCCAACTCGGTTCCTTATTATGCTCACGACTCAGAATGGGCACGCGAATCCTTAAGCATATGTGCAATCTCATAAGTAGTACTGGTAATCGTGCGGTATCAATGTTGCGTTACTTGAGTTCCTACGTGGAAAATTGCCATTATGGTAAACTTGATATGCTTCTCCGTTGAGAGAAATGATGGGAACTTTCGATGCGCGTTTTCTGAGTCTGTTGTGGTGTTCAACGAATTATATACGGTGAAAATAATTATTAAGTGTGTAATACCCGACGCATAAGTGTTTACTGTTTGAATAATCATATTAAAAGTCGAACTTTTGCAATTTCGCACGAGAATACAATTCATTCGCTTTGATCCCATATTATCCTATTTGGTTCCAACAATGCCTTCATTAGTTATCGAATCAGCGCACTCAATTCAGGATTCTTTACTTTACAGTTATTTTTCTTAGTTAGACGTAATGGCAATTTACTTTTTCCAGTAATGTACCCTGGCGTACAAATGGTGCATGTAGGTAATAAAACAGCTAATTATTATTGTCCCACCAGGATAGTTTTTAGAATAATGGAAACGTCTTCTTATAGTAATCCCTTTTTTACATTGATTTGGTTATCAATACACAAACAAAAAGGAAGAGCATTAGAGCCGTTTGCGAAATCATCGACATCAACAAGCCTGAAAATAGTATCGTTTTAAAAAAACTTCTTCGAGTCTGAAACGTGAATTTACATGCCCTTCTTTTTCCTAAATGTAACTGATTTTATAACAGTCGCAGTTACTAATTACCGCTATATCTACCCTCTTTTACCGCTTACAGTTTAAGGTACTTTTCTTGGTTTATTCATTGTTTCAGGTATCTATTCTAATGATGTGGAAACTGTTCTGAAGTTTACACACTTATCTCGACGCGTCTTATCTAAGGAACGAAATCCGCCGATTGACAAGTTCATCGAACTCAATGCTGTACCTAGGTGGGTCACATCATTATCACAAAATGACGTAACCTTCTTAGATTGGACCAAAAAGCGCTCGTACATCATGCATCTGTTTCGCTTGAATAAACTCTCGTTCACTTTTGAATTGTTCCGATTAAAATATGCAATTATTCTGTTTTGTCAAATTCAGTGCTATATTTCACGTACTGACTCACTGAGAAATACGTTTCTTATAATTATGTTTATTATTACAGAACACTTAGTATGTAGAAGAACAAATTCGATTTCTGTAGTCAAATTGTGACTTTTATTTTGGCCTTACCTAAAAACTAAACCTTGATTCATATGTAGGTTGTGGTAGGTTCTGTGTAAATCTGCAGATGATTTTTTGATTTCCTTAATAAAGGCTCCTGTTTTGGTGAAATGACTTCGTACTTCTTGGCAATGTATTTGCAAGCAATAATTACCAAATGAAGCTAAATAGTTATTTTTTTAAATATCTTTCTGGCGACTCTGAAGCGTAAATTTCCAAAAATAATAGGATCCGATTAATATTAGAAACGCATTTTCATGCCATAAGAAATATGAAATCGCCTCAACTTATTGATTACTAAAATACAACAGAAACTTCAACAAGCTTAGTTTACGGTACTTATTTGAAGGCAATCAAACTTCCTAAAATTATTACTTATAAAATGATCTTATGGAAGTTAAATAGAACGTATAGACTGATTGGAACGGTAATGTTAACAAGGTTTTTATTCTGTTGCTGTTTTTAAAAGCACATTTAAAAACGCTTCTATAAGTACATTACAGGTCACAAGTGACATATGTACAAAAGCATGTGCAGTTTATCAGGAATGCCGTAAAAATTCCTACAAGTCCAAAAATATTTTGATGTTAAAAAAACTCGGAAATTTAGTTTTAAAACGGTCGATTGGTAACATGTATACTGAGTGAGGTATTGATTTATAAAACACTGTATTCGTGCTAAGTATGCTGAGCACACTTGGGGTGTGTATGGTTAGATAGATTGACTTAGTAATTCAATAGATTTAATCGAAAAAAGTCGAAGCGCTCAAAAATTCACTTGGATCAACCTTAACCCCTGAAATTTAATTTTGATGAGTTTTCTGTAACAGAAATAAATCGTCGGGACGCCATCGTCTATCGTACACTGCCTCGCTTATTAGTATGTTGTTAAATACCGTTACATTTTTGGTCACAAAGTTTGAATTCATTCACGTGTAAAATTGATGTATTTGGTACAGGCTAGTGGAAATTCTCAAGGCACAAGACCGCCCTGATCTTCAATTTGAGGCTGCGTGGGCTCTCACCAATATTGCTTCAGGTCAGTGTTTTGTTAACTTTAACTGGCATATTTTTTTGGCTTAATGTTAGTTCTATCCATCTGGCTGAGCAAAATGGTTTTTCGCCAAGATACAATGTTATTTAGGTATAAAGTAGTGACTAAAAAATAATATTTTCCCAAAAAAATGAAAAGAAAAAAGCTTGAAATTACGATCTCAGGCTTACTGCCGCGTTGGTGGGGTCACAAAGAGAATCTAATGCAAAAATTAAAGCTATTTCCAGCGAAATTTAAACTCAATCTAAATTTATTGATGGGCGAGATATCCACTTAGAGATAAACAAAACCAGTGCTACGTTTAAGTTTTAAATTCGAATAACTGTGCTTTGTCTATACCAAAGTTCATTGTTTTTCTCTATCATTATGATTACAATGAGCCAAATTCAGGTTCTGTTACCATAATTCTTAACAACTTTATATTAACATTAGTATCTAAAGCTATACCAAGGCAGTATACTTGTATTTACTGATTATAAATCTGCTAACAGCAGTATTTTAAGCAGTGACCTAACGCATGAGTTGTTTTGAATATGGCCATTTACGATTTCGATAGGTTTATACATTTTATGGTAAAAACGCGTTACCTACCATAGCAAACAAATTTCAATAAAATTTGCTTCGCTGAAGTTGCCTAGCGTTTTATTAGCATGCGCTAGTGACGCGATATCCGCATGCTAACATTTGTCGGTGGAAACGTTGCGTACATAAAATGTATTTTCGGCGTGTCTAACTTCATTGCTGGACTGAATGTACATATCTGTACAAGTTTTATTTTATGTTAACTTGCTTATTTCTAAAGAACGACCTCGTAAAGGCTGCTGAAGTTACTATTCAGATTTGTTAAATATTGACGTGGTGAAGCTTCATAGAGTACTGAAGCCAGCAAATGTCACTTTGTTTGCTCTATTTGAAACGCTGGCTAACTAGCTATCACACAGGGTCTATAACGTTTTAAGCAAACGAAATATACGAACCATGAACCAAAATAGGTAAAGAAATATCATTTTTTTAAACCACTAATTTTCTCAAACCCAACTAGTTTTACGTACGTGCATTTATTTCACGATCCATTTAAAAATATCGGTATGGGATCTAAATAAATCCATGTCTTATTTGATTTCAGGCACGGCGGAGCAGACTAAGTGCGTCGTCGGAGCAGGCGCTTGTCCATTGTTCATACAGCTCCTTGGATCGAAGCACAATAATGTGGCTGAGCAGGCTGTGTGGGCGTTGGCAAATATCGCAGGCGACGGCCCTGAGTACCGTGACATGCTTATCCGAAACGGAATAATACCTGCTGTGATTAAGCTTATAAAGCAAGATACGTCATGCAACTTCTTGGCGAATGTGTCCTGGTGCCTTAGCAATCTCTGCCGCAACAAGAATCCTCCTCCTCCACTCGAAGCTGTTGTGGAATGTCTTCCTGCGATAAAGCAACTCTTGATGCATGAATCTAACGCTGTGATTTCGGATGCATGTTGGTCTCTCTCATACATTTCCGACGGAACCGATGACCGCATTCAAGAGGTGCGTAATAAATTAATCGATACGATGTTACATTTTTTTTTCGGAAAATTAATGTCTATTGAATATATCAAAACTAAAGGCAAGTATAACGCTAGGTGAACGGAACATTGTTCGATATAATTATCGGGCACCGAAACATCGGTTATTGTTGAGACACCGAAATTTTACACACGGTGCTTCAAAAAATATTAAATGCTGTGAGATTCACTGCTTTGATAGAAAAGGTAAGCATACGAACTTGGAGAAAAAAACTTTACCTTTCGTGTAAGGTGCGTTTCAGGTTTGTTAATCACAAGTCGATAAAATTAGTGAGTAAAATAAAAAAATATTATTAATGGTTTAATCTATAGCTCTAAAACCCAAAGGAAGCAAAGTAGTAGTAGAAGAAACCTTCAAACCTCATCGTAAAGCTGAGGCTCCTTTTTCATTACTGGAGTTTTTTAGGGCATAAATGACTCCGGTTCGTCAGGGATAACGAGAACTTCCCGTTTAAAAAAATTTCGGTATGAAAGAGAACGCGCTTTCCGCTTCTATGCGCCTGTTTCATACGCAACATACTCAAGGTACAACAGGTGTTAGAGACCCGTTATTTGACTGCTCCGTTCACTTTAATTATTATTTAGGTTTTTAGAAAAACGCGTGAATGGTCTCGCCTGCCGAATTTTAGTCGATTTTGATAGACAGAAAACAGCGTTGTGTGTAGAATAAGTAATATAATAAATAAAGCTTAGCCTAATATTTCTCTAACCGAATTAGCATTTGGGTACTACCTATCGTCCTTATAACTAACTAGCTTCAGATAGTTTCTAAACGAGAAAACGAAGGTCTCTTCCATGTACATATCATCATTTCGTGGAACAGATGGTGTTTCCCATACAATTACAGGCTTTTGCATCTTTGCATGCGAACATCTTAATTTTTTATATATATAATCGTTCTAAAGTATTTTTAAATCACACATATCTAAACTAAATTACTTATCTAAACTACTTCTATTCAGTTCCCCTGGGCAACTAAACACGGCTTCTTGCGCAAGCCATGAGTAATACTTCAGTAAAAATCGCATATCAGAAGTCTATTTCCTTGGTGTAGGATAGCGTTTCTGCAAAGGAAAATTCGATGTTGCTTTTCATGCGGAACAGCTTCCTCTCTTTTTAATGTAGGGTAACTTTCTCAGATTGATTCCTACGGCTTCACAAAGTCGTAATACAAGACGTCTTTACTATTCCACCAGAAAGCCTTCGCCGGTTGGGATGTACCGGAATAACCTGACCTGTGCTCTGTAGCGCTACCTCGTTCGTCGGGTGCAGCTTGCTTCTAGCCACAGGTGGTAATCCGATGCAAGTAATCTACGATGAAACCGATGTAGCGGTGATGCAAAGCGACTCCCCTAACGGACTTCCTGCGTCTCGGTCAGCGCATGAGAAATTAGTCTTCCAAATCTGCAAGCCATCCGCATTGAATGTAAACGATCTATTACGTTAGAATCGGATACATCCAGAAAATTCTACTGTGCATAGCGTCATAGCTGTGTCTTCAAAAGCGTCACGAATTTTAACTTCGCATTCAGCGTGGTATCTCCGAGTTTGAGCTAAGAAGCCAAAATCAAACGAATTTGCTTATAACAGACTTTGGTCGGAGTAAGAAATAAATCACTAATTACTTAGTCAGTTCTTTTTGAGGTGTTTGTAACGGCTAGAAGGAGCGAAGATTGATTATAATTTAATAAACGCTTTTAAGTGAAACGCTCGATGTATATAAACCCAAATCTAATTGTTGCTACAAGGCTCGTCTATTTCAGAACAATAACGAAATAGAATTAGCAAATAATGTCGGTTGTTTCGACAGTATCGATATTTCTTGGCGTGAGTGCTGATAAAAAATCCTAATCGGGAAGTTTTTTTCTAGCATGCAGAAAGATTACTAAGCTAAATACTGTTTGATCAAGCCCTGAGTAACTCTCTATTATTTTGAGAATGGTAACTAAGTTGTTTTAATATGAATGTCAAGAACTTTCCTTATTAGTTGTCTATCTAGGAATGCTTTTCCGCATTTCTGGGGGATTCCATAAAACTGGGCATTAAGTGGCTTTTAGTTTTTATGCGTATGCCACCATTGGAATTTCAAATACATTATAAATAAAAACCTAGCCAAAGATCTCGTTTCTTTTTATAGAAACGATATTTATGCTAGGATATATTGTAACTGCCCAACTGGAAGTATTGAAAAAAATTGAATTTAGTGCCAACTCTAATCGGGGTTTGTAAATTACGTCCACAACGAGGCATTTACGATATGAATCCGCTACCCCAGAAATGTTCACTGCTTACAAATAAATTGCAGGACAAAATTAAGATTTTTCTCGATCTATGCCGATCAATGATACTAACAGATAAATGAAGTGAAAAATTTATAATGACTGAATAGAAAAACGTATAAAAGACTAATAAGAACTACGAGCAGACTGGTTTGTAAATAGTGTTATAATACTACAACTACTGTTTAGTTCATGCATATGGCTAAAAAACAGGTATTGAAAAATACCGAAGGCTTGCTATCTATTTCAAAATAGATGACGTTTAATCTACTATTTACTTGGTAAAATAAATTTACTCGCTATATAGTGATCACACACTACCATTGACTTGGCATGCTTTTGATTGTGATGGCTGATCTACTTTAGGTGGTGGACCAATGTGTGCTCGATCGTCTTGTAAGCATAATTAGTTCTTCAAATGATCGTAATCTTGTTGTACCAGCGTTACGCACGCTGGGTAATATTGTTACCGGAACTGATGTACAGACGCAGGCGGTGATCGACCACGGTGCCTTACCAGCCTTCAGGTAAAAAAACCTGATCTAATAATGCTTCCTTTATGCATTTATAAATCGACATAAATCAATAGCTGGTAATCTTGTACAATAATCATCATTTTATTGAGTCCTCAAAAACTAAAAAGTCAATATTAATTTGGTACTTTATAAAATGGTAATTTCCATTTGATAGCCCTTTAATAATATAATTTTTTTTAAGTTGTACAATAGACACGCCCGGTAAACAATTGAGTATAGAAATTTTATTTTTTTTCAATTATAAATAGGACTAAGTTATAAAGATGCTAACTTGAACTACTTAAAATCGGTTTGTCTATTGGTATCATGGTGACCGCATCAAACAAATAAACGTTTTTTCCATGTGCAAATATTCCGTACACAATAATGTGGAAAAGGGGAATAAAAATATACTGTAAGGAAACTTAAATTCCTTTTTCATCTTTTCAAAATATTTGCCTTTTTCTATTCCTGTTATAACAGGTTTATGATATCCCGAAAACTTGTGTGCTGGCATCTGTGTGACTAATTAAATTTTGATTTCTCGTGATTCAATGGTAGCGTTAATCACTGTGAAATTGGAATCTATTAATAGAGTTAAAACATCTTCTTGCTAAGTAGTTTCGTGGCGTGTTTAAAACTACACTCTTAAACCCGTGTTACATAAGCCACATAGTGCGACATGTGTACTTATTATAAAATGAAATTTCTGAGAAGATAATGATTCTCATAACAATTAAAACGACAATAAAAGAAACTAGATATGTCACCCAACCATGGTTAAAAATATTTTTAAAATCTAAATGAATACTGGAGATGCGGTTGAAACAATATTTGACAACTACTAGAACCTAAACCTGTCATTTTTTCTTTTGGCCAATTATTTGCAATTTTTTGTCGTATAATGCTACTGCCCGAAAGAATATAGTTGTGAAGTAAAAGCTCTCTTTCTTTGTGAGATGGACAAATAACAGAGTAGCATAGAGTTCAGATGTACCTTGATGCTAAATATGATTTGCGGTTTTCTGTCACTTCTTAAGACAGAGAAGCTTTTTTTCAGGTTTGAAAGTTTCGAGACTATGGTTTAGTATTACTCTGTCATAGCTGTATATGAGGATGCAGGCTGCGTAATAGATTGTAGTGGGAATATTCAGTATTTCGATTTAGCCCAACAAATTGTCCTAAACCTTGCACCGCAATTTTGCGTAGGCATTAAACTGGATGTATTTAGCATATCTTTAATTGAACTTTAGGCTAGATTAGCACAGAATCAGATAATCTTGACTGTGCGCAAACGGTGGAGTTTTGTGCTTTGGCTTAAATGTTACTCATTTCTGCTGTTTTACTTCTTAGGCATCTTTTAGCAAACGAGACATTGAATCTCCGTAAGGAAGTGGCATGGGCACTGTCAAACATCACAGCTGGCAATCAAAGTCAAATCCAAGCTGTGATTACCGCTGGGATTGTTCCTTGTCTCATCGAGCTCATTCAACATGGAGATGTTAAAACCCAGAAGGAAGCTACTTGGGCGATTTCGAATTTCACTTGCGGAGGAAGCGTAGATCAGATAGCATTACTGGTTCAAGAAGGTGCGTGATACTTGCAAGTCCATTTATTCTCGCTCCGGGATGTTTCTATGTTTTCATATTAAGCGTCGCTTCTACCTTAAATCAGAGTGTATACATTTAGCTGGTTCTATTATGACAAGTGATTTCGACAGATCTTATTTCAGGTTAAGCAAACGGAACACATAAATATAAACGCAAAAGGTATACGCTTACAAGTTTCAAAGCTCTTCTAAATTTCGGCGACTCATCATACTGAGCGGTTTGTTGTTAATCATTGCTTAGTACGAGATAAACACCTCAATACCAAATTTATAATATATAAAAGCTTGTATTGAGGACACAAGAATGTTAACAAATTCCACCTAAGACGCATAGGAAAACATTCTCTCCATTTTCTTACTTATGGCCGCGCTTTCATTCTCATAGGAAATATTTAAAGGCTATACCAGTTAAATCGGAACAATTCTAATTATATGTATCGCCTTATTCGGTGAATCGGCGGGGAAAAGTTTGGATCAATGAAAAAGAATTACTGCTGCTACTAAAATCCCTGTGTCAGAACGATACCTTCCACTAGCCGTTGCGCGAACTTTACGGTGCCTGAAACGCTTTGAAACGTGAAACAACTAATCGTCTTCAATCGCCGACTAACGAATGTACTTTAACTTAGCCATTTAAGAATTTATAGTAAACACTTATAGTGAGAGGCGTTGAAAGTGGTGAGAAACAGGCCATTTGTCTCTCGGTGGTAGGAACATATAGCAACTAAGGCAGTCATTTAGCTAAGGCCGGGCTTTTTCAGTATTTTGACCTCATCCCTCAAGCCTTTTGGCCAGCCAAAAAGTTCTGGTGACATTTTAATATGGCACCATTCGCTAGCAGTATTTCATAAATATACGCTCTTAAAATTTGTGCGATGTAGTACCATTGCGTAGCTGCTACACATGTTAGCTGTCTCAATCGAAAATTAATGCTAGGATTAAAACTGTTACACTGACAATAGTAGAGGTATTTTCAGGCATCATTGTATAGCTTATTGTAAAACCACACAAAGTATAAACTTAAGCTGCATTAGTTAGAAATGGTATTTATATTCGACCTTATGATAACTTCAGGTGTACTCCAACCGCTTATTGACATGCTAACTCAAAATGACGCTAAGATCACTATGGTGGTTCTCGATGCTGTAAGGAATATCCTACAAGCCGGCGACAAAATGAACCAGCGTGATACCCTATGCGAGGTGCTTGAGGAAATAGGACTTGTTGATCAACTGGAGCGATTGCAGGCCCACGAAAACGAAGAGGTAAGAAAGACCGTTACTGAAGTTCCTTCTCTCTGCGTTGTAGTAAACCTTTCTCGATCGTTGAAACGCTAATTAATGTTTTGAGTTGCTTTTGATTAAAGTCACCTTGTTTACATATTTACGTTCTTTTTACATACTGAACTTTTAAGATGAAAAAATAAGTTACAATAATTAATGTTGCTATTTTTAGATTTACGGGATGGCCGTTAAACTCGTTGAGGAATATTGGGGCGAAGTCAGCGAAAGTGAGACAGGCCCTGCGGTAGCCGAGGACAGTCAAAATTACGTGTTCAACCCGAACAATCCTGGGTCCAGCAACAATCCATTCCAATTTTAAAGTTCTGGTTTTCTATGAATTTTATAGATAAATAAGTGGCAAGTGACTACTGTTTACATGATCTCCGATAATCCTCCCCATAAACTTTTCTTACTAGATGTGCAAAGCACAAAACCACATCTATCAAACCATTGTTTCCTCATGGGTTAGGTTTTTGAAAAACCTCTTGTTCTTAACCAAAAATACTATGGTTAGCACCCGCAGCAGATTCTGGCTAATTCTTTCATATGAAAATTGCCTCGAGCAAAAATAGCTTTGGCTATGTCAAAGAGTCATCTGTTTATTCTAGCACATTTAGGAATGCGTAAAAATTTTAGAAAATGAAATGACTGGTGAGATAAAGAGTAATGAAGCTCTGTAACATTGTTGACTACTTGAATTCCTTAACTCAAAATCAGTTAGGGGATATTTAAGGGATAAATAAAAAAACATACATTTGGCGCTTTGCTGAATTACATACAGACTGTTATATTCATTTTATCACCATTCAAGGACGTCTCATTTTTTTAGAATTTGTCATATAAATTTTATGGTGATTGAAATAGCACTACGTTTGTGAGGAACAAAAACAACTTTTTGATTCAGCTATCGCATATTATCTTATTGGAATGCGTTAGCGTTTAGTAAGGACCTACGAGGCTCCATTTGTATATGAAGAATATTACAATCGCGAAGTGTTTTGTTAATCGGCCAGAAAGAGGTTTCGTCAATTTTCGAACTTTGTTATATCTATTCCATTTCTTAACTGTTCTGTATTTACTACATGGTCTATACGTCGGCTGGGTCCATTAGCATCGAGTGTTTTTAGAGATCAATTGGTAAAACTCAAACCTGCATTTTCAATACACGCTTTTTGGCAGTTCTTCCTCTGAGCAAAATGCAGTTAAAGAGAACTGTGTGAAAAGTTGAAAGATATCTTTAATTACGTTTTTCTCTTCTTCCTGTAAACATCTCGTATCCATCTCGATGTGATCGCGAACAACTTAAGCTTATGAACTCGTTTTTAAGCCGACTTTTGAAACGATTACTAATATAGATATCATATAGCGTTTTCAAGTTGCCATAGTTGAACTTAGTATACGCACAATTCGCTAATGCACAACGGGTTAGCTAAACCTGTCCTAATTTAATAGGAGCTTTCAGATATGGCCAGTTAGTATCTAGGCGAGCTTTTCATAATTTGCGTATTCACGTTCGTGACAGATTGACTGAGAAAGGCATTATTTTTCTCATTGAAATCCTGGCGTATTGATAATGTACGGGAAATAGCAAATGCACGTATTTAGGTGTTTTGACTGGCGGCAGAGCTTACAGAGCAAATGAACGCGTAAACAACCTGATTTTGCTGCGGAGGCCCAATAATAGTAGGATATCAAACCTAAACGTTTGTGATTAGTATACGGAAGTTGCAAATAAACGTTTACAGCTGGATAAGATAAGCTGGGAAAACATTATTTTTTATATAATGGAAGGTTTTGTGTAGTTGTAAAACATCATTAGCATTGCCTACATCCTTAACTGACGCTGTTGAATAACGGCGAAGTTTGCCTCTAAACTCTGTCTGCGTGCGAGTATCTTAGTATTAGTCGCGTCGTCTATTGAATGTTTTATGTATAGATCTTCTGCGGATAATTTTCTTTTAACTAAGTTTCTGTCATCTACACTTTGCCTAGTTGGGCTTAATCATCTTTGCGAACTTATAGATGTCTGCGAAAACCCGAGGTTTTGGTGCTGTCCCTATCTGGTCTGATCGAGTGATGTTTTCCTTGCGACTTCGCAATTATGCATATTGCCTCGCCGACATTAGCTGCCTTATAGCTGTGCTTGAAATTTTTTCTTGCTAAAAACGAGCCGAACTATTTACTGCTTGTTCTACGTTAAATTTTCGTGTTCGTTCTTTTTCTACTCGACGACTTGAAGATTATTGTCATGATTTTCCAGAGACGATCGCTCCTAATTTGTATTGAAGATCTCATAAACATATATTGTATTGTGCTGGTGTTTACATCCTTCGCTTTTTTTGTTCAAATCAGTTTCGCCTTTTATAGGTTAGGCACGAAAAAAGCCAATTTCAAATGATATGAAGCACAATCTATTACGCGGCGGCGGTACTGGGCCCATTCCCAATACGAGAAAGTTCGCTAACATTTGAAATCGTTATACTGGTAGAAACATGGGCCTCGTAGTTTGTAGCCACCTAACGAATGTTGAATGTGTAAACGTTTATGCGTTTATGTAACAGCGCCGGATAGGGCTTTGAAGCCATGCATGCAGTTGGTTAATTTGTATCCTTTATTGTCAACTATTGAAGTACAATGTCGCGCAACTTCAGTTCGATCATCCAATTCGGAAATCGATCAAGTGTGTTTTGCATCGTGTGGCAGTATTCAATCGCAAATACTAAGTCATACATTTATAATTACCATGTATAGTAGTTTTTCATATTGGACTTGAAATAACTGAAAAAAATGTATTGATATATCTATAAGTAGTCTATAAGTCCCTATCTATAAGTAGTGTCCTGTGGGGGTCCATATAAAAGATGAGCTTTCGTTGACCAAATACGAGAGCTATAGCGACACGGCCAATGCCAGCCAGAGAGAAAGCGAGGTCCCATTTTGCAGCGCAGTATAGTTTCCAACAATTTCTATGCTTAAAAATCTCAAACGCCTCAAATCGACGGACTTAAATCGAAGTCGTCAAAATCTATCAAATGATTAGCTACTAGGCAGCTGAAGGCAAATTGTTTTTTGCAAACGAGATCTTGTTGATTCGCACTTTCGTAGATAGATAGCGGCACTGCTGTTAGTTTTCATGATTTTGTATGGCACTGCGGTTAGCAATACCAGCCTTTTGTTTGAAAGTTGTGCTATGTAATACCTCATGTGCACCGCCCAGATTATTGCGCGCCTGAACAATGAATCTGGAGACTTACCCGACTGTAATGTATGACGAAATATTGACGGCAATGGAACGCACATAGGTAAGCAATTTGTACATGCTAACTGGACACCTACAAGGATCTCAGTAAGCTTTAATTTTCGAGATACCTATATACGCTTTCAGCTGATGGGTCTACTCCGTTTAGAACTACAAGATGGTTTTTCGCTAATAATGCAGGCTTAAGATTTATTTACCACGGACTAATTTCTGAACTCAACAAAGAAGTTTAAAAACGAAACTTAGAAAAAAAACGAACGATAATAATCTACACTTCTACCTAGTTTTTGGCTACATGGCTTTTATCCAGCTTGCGTATCAGTTCCCGCTTTGACATTTGTATATTTCAATACTTTGACACTTGTAAATTGTGTGCTTGGGTAATTTAAAGATAGAAGCGTACCTCCGTAAATAATTTTTTTTAGTTCACTCAAAATCTTCTGTAAGCTCTTTGCTTCTAACTTAGATCTACAATACGCAGTGAGCCGCATAGACAATATTATGATCTATTTTACTGGGGTTCTTTAGACTTCTGGGGAATATGTGAAGTTTTAAAAGGAACCATCTTAAGTATCATAAACGTTAACACAGTCCCCAAAGGAACTACTCAGCCATTGCGGTATGCGCTCACACTGTTTGACTTTTAACCTCATCATTTGTAATAATGAAAAGGATAGGCATACTATTTGTAATTGCTATTAGCCTCTAATCTTGTTTTTCTAAGACAAAAAAAGGTAATTGGGCTGTGAAAATAACTTGTGAGAGTGGGCAGGATTTGTATATACTGCTTGGATAATATGATACTCCAACCGATTCTTGTTGAAAGGTTGCTATCATGTACCCGTGGGGTCCTAATACAAACTGGGCAAAGCCTCTGCCATTGCAAACGATGAAAGAGCTTCTTCAGAATCACTTTCGCCGCCTCCAACAACTCATCCAAAATTGCGACATGAGTCCTAATCTATTCTTGGGAGATTAAAATCACCCAATGTAGCATTTGTTTGTTCGACATCGCACACACTGTAGAGCTCACCGATAAACTGTTTCGTGTGAAGAGTCAAGCTAAACACCAATTATTTGTACTGGAGGATCTGGAAAGAATAGGCCTACGACGATAAATTCTGACTTGTTGTTGATTTACTCGCATACTATCTCTCTATCTACGAAAGCTGAGACATTGTCACCTTTTCAACTTCTTGCCGAGTCGCCTTTAATATCCCAGAAAAGGACACTGCTGCAGAACTTTCGTTTTCAATAATGCCTGCTACATTAATGCTTTTATTGTATGTAAGAATATCTATGACACTTAACTTTGCTATTGAAGGCACGCTGAACGCAGTTTAGCATGATGTATTTCTGTGTTTACACCGCACAGGCCAATCTAGTCGCACCGAGGGTTCCGCCAACTAATGTTATAATAGTATAGTTATTGTTAAGCCATAAATTGGTTCGAGTTTATTTTTTCAAAGAACTTACAGACAATGATTCCTTTGTTTCATATGTCTTCGACAATGTCGACGTCTTCGACAGATGTCAGAGCCCAGCACGTCTCCCCACCCCACATTTGTTAGATGAGCATGTCTCTTATATCATTTTTTGGACCTATTTTGATAAACTACTATATCGGCATCTTCATCTATTGAAAGCTAGTAACATGAGCCTTGCATCATGTTTCCTAATATTTTTGTGGGTCGTCTGCTCTTTTTCGGGTTGTTGTGTCTACAGTCGTTTATTTGATATAGTTCCGCCATTCGTGCACTCGAAATTGGCTCGAATCAATTTCCGTTTTCATACTGCGGCAGCCTTTGAGTGTTCTGCCAGATTTTAACATAGATACGTATTTGCAGTTATCTTCTTGGTCGACTTAGTTTTTAGCGCGAAGTTCCCCGCTGTCGATGCTGATCATTTGATTAGCAGTGACATCTTTTTTTTGAGATCTGACTTTTGCAATGATAACGGTGAGCCGTTACCACCGAAATGTTCGAAGTAATCCAGTAATAGGCACAAGTGAGTGAGCGGTTAGCCCTACACTGGCTCACTCAGTTCATGGAAGCGGTTATTTAATTGCCCATTTCGACCAAATCGTAGAAATCAACGGATTAAAGATTAAATTGCGCGCCGATTTTGGGACTGATGTCGCCATGACAGGAAGGTCCATACAGAAAAAATCCGCTGTCCATTGTTCAATATTGCAGCGTTCCGGTTGGAAACAGCGAACGATACATTCATTCGTTACTTCAGATGGTAGTTCACTACTTCACGTTGCCTAAGCCGCTCGGTTACACGATTGCCACTGCCTCTCTTTGAATCCTAGCTTATCTAAGCTACTTTTCATTCATGTTACCGAAATCTATCGGCCGCCAGCAGGTCTGCTTTCGGGCCAACATTTACACATGGACTTTCTGATAGCAAATGGCAAGTCTAATCGTTCCTGAGACGTTCGTGCATTCTATGAAAGTACATAGGTTTTTGAATATATAGCCTGACTCACATAATTAGTAATGTAGAAATGGGAAAACAGGCGTTTCATGCGTCCAACTTAGAACGTTCGCCAGATATTTATGATATCTGACATAGGGTGAATCATGATGACTGCAAAAACATCTTTTCTGCGACCTTCAATGGTTAATGAATAGGATACGCTCTGTTAATATAAAACGGATCAATAAGTGCTAGTGTGATCTTAGTGCCACTTAGGTATTAGCCACTAATAAGTACTGGCAGTCCATGGCCCAGTTTGGCCTATTATAATCACTGAATCTGCAGGTCGTATAATGTTGTAATGTAGGTCAAAGCACCCGTGGTGTCTCATCACCTACCGTCGATATCGGACAGACCGTTTCTCAGCCAAATTAGTTTTTGGCTTATGGTTAATAGTTGATCTAGTTGAACAGCATTTCTAGCTGACTTAGCTGCGAATCCAGCTTGAAAACAAATCGACAAATAATAATATATAATAAAGGAACAGACCGAAGCGTTGCGTGGAACACCCGTTCGATTCCTGAGCTCACGTCAACTCGAGCAGATTTTCTAGCAGAAAAAATATGGGTGACGAGAACGGTCCTGGGAGGTCTGAAGGCATAAAAATCGAAAAAAAAAACCACACATCGTTAGCAAATGCTTACTAACTTAGGCGGACGTTGGGTATTTGATTGAGGTCGTGGAAAGCTAGGACGTGAGATCTCTGCTGTCTATGTCAATGCCAAACAGGCTATGTAAAGGAAACGATAAAGCAGTGTAGTATTGAAAATACGACGATATATTTGTTAAGAGAGGAGATTGTTATGCTTCGACCTTAATTTGTTTAGCGATCGGTACTGTCTTATTATGCAACCCTAAGTACACAGTTACAAATGTAGGGTTCGAAGCATTCGTGTACTACGAGTAAGTTGTGTAACTAGAGATAGGCATCTTTAGTAGTACCGTTGTGCGTACGGACAAAAAGAACACGAACACAGTCAGTGAAGTTATGTACGTGTTTATATTCTCTATTTACGAAGCTTACCGCATATTATATATAAAAAGAGCGCATGTTATCTTCGAACATGTATCGTTGAGTCTACACTAGTTTTCTAATTACGTGAAAGAGTCGCTAATAACTTAAACAGGCAACACCCAACCTTAACATCATGGCAATTCTAACTTTACCCCTCTACAGCCGAACGCTTCATGTTGTCGCGTTTTTACGATCAGACCCAGGTCGTTAGAGTTTGTTCTCTGCTTAGACGTCATCTCCCTATTTTTACTGCCCGAAATTAGTATCGCCCCGGGATAGCGCGAGATAACAACTACATCAGAGGAAATGCTGGAGGAGTACGTTGCGTGGCGAAATACCAAATGCAACATTGCAACTTTTTCGTCTAACTCTTAAAAATACCGTATTGATGTGAAGTTCTACTCGGGCATCCACGGGACCGACAGATCATAGTCAAGCTATCAGCTAAATAACAGCACAGACGGTGGTAGTATCTCGGAGAGATACACAAAATAGTTCTTTAGCCAAATATACGAAAACTGGCATTGTAATGCTTTAAAGAATGGCTGAATCGATGTCGGCACCATCAAGATAAATCAACCTACAGAATCCTACCAATTGGGGAATCCTACTTAATGAGATTTCTTCCTTAAAGAATAAAAAATGCTGTTTCGTTTATTTATGATAATTTTTACACGACTGTAAATCAATATTGCGGTGCAACCATCGCAGAATTGTTGGACCTTAGTTATCGTGTAGGTTGTATATGTTATTCCACATAAGGGATTGCTAACTTAGCTATCTTTTACTTATGCTTTATATAGCTTTTTATCTCAATTTCAGTTGTAAGTTTTATATTTTTGTGTCTATTGTGTATAACTTAGCAAGCCACTTTAAGTTGCAACCAACTATCCAAAAAATAAAAAAAAAATTATTTCAACTACGAAGGGCTTAAGGGTGGACCTGAATAGTACACAGTTAGCCAAGATGTGACTTAACACTTAAGTAGAATAGGCTTTTAGCGGGTTACGAGTCATCTGATTCAACTGTAGGCCTGCATTTTCCCGTATTGAAAAATAGCCTTGGCTCAGTGGCAAAAAGTAGCTATTGAATTTAATCACACTGTAAGAACCTCAGTAGTGTAGCACTTTGGATTATATAGATCCATGTGCCCAAGGGTTTTACCTATGAGGCATTGACGAATTATTGGCGCAGGCAAGTAGTCTGCCAGCCTTATGCCTTTTGAAATTCTAGGTGTTTTTCCTTTGACCGGCCTCGCTGCAAAAAAGGAGAGAGAAGGGTCAAGAGTGACACACGATTTTGCCTACCAGAGCGCGTTTTACCGCTTTTAATAAATAAATCAGTAGAATTGAAAATAACTTTTCATAAAACTGCATGGTACTATCGACTCGTTCACATCGTGAAGCTTATTTAGAGCCGGTCTTTATGCAGTTTTTGAATGTTGTTTCAGCCTACGTAAGTCTTTGGTGAAAAGTACCTACTATATTGTAATATGACGGCTTTTGCGTATTAAACTACTAATATTACTCAATTGACGCAATCTGCTTATTGGTTCACAAGCCAAACAAAGATATCTTTATTTTCTTGATGTCTCCATGATTATAACATAAAATGTTATATTTATTGGAACAATGCATTGTCCCTTTATTTTGGGACTTGTACTCTTTCTTGTTGGAATTTTAATGAAGGATTCTGTGTTTATCAAGCAACGACAATAGCGATGGCACACCAGGATGATAAAGGATGCTGTAACCTCGCAACAACTGCCTTTGAGGTTAATTCATTTGAACAGATACTTTGTAGCTATGTTTTGCCGGTGGAACAGATATTCAGGCGAGTATGTACAGTACGTTCGAAGGGTCTTTTTTAACATTATCTACCTATCATGGTATTCAACTTAGACGACCATTCTGTTGGCCAAAAATGGACAACTGCGAAGCAAAAGCTAGCTCAGCACCGGATCCATACTGGTACTTAACGTTTTGAACAGAAGGAATGTAGTCTGGTGCAGCTACAGGAGTCTGGCTGGCTGATGAAGGCGCATTGTAGGTTTGGGGAGCAGCGAGTGCATTCGGATAGGCAGGTGACGCTGGGTTTTGATAACGTGGCTGGAATTGAGTTAAGGCTGCCGTAGACGTCGGTCCTCCGAATGGCTGAGGGGCAACCTGTGGCAGGTTAGCTTCTGGCAGTTGTGGTTGATACGAGATGCTTGATGACCTGTGCTGCGGTGTTAAAGACGTGTATGGGGGTGTTATAGCAGGGGCGTATTGTACCCCTGGGTTCGATGTCGGCACGTACTGTGTGCTCGGTTCTTTTGACTGGTATTGAATAGGAGCTGGTTGGGTATATTGAGGTGGCGGCGGAGCTGGGGCATTATACTGAGGAGCTGCAGCCGTGTATTGCTGCGGAGAAGGCTGATATTGTTGCGGACGGGGCTGATATTGTTGTGACGGGGGCTGATATTGCGGGTACTGTTGCTGCGAGGCTTGATTTACAGAAGGCGTATTTATATAACGAGGCGCGGGAGCTGGAGCAGTGTACTGCGGCGGCAGTTGATACTGTGCCGGCAATGCAACTGGTCGTGTTGCCGATTCTGGAGCTTCAGCAGGAGCTGGCCGGGAGATCTGTATAGAACTGTATGGCTTGCCTGAGCTGGGATCTCCTTGGCTGACGGTGTACGAGAATCCTTTGCCTTCTGCGTTGAAATCAATCTGCGCCCCAAGTTCCTTGCCAGTACCCACCTTTTGGCGGTAGGAGGGGGCGAGAACGCCTAGTCCAATAGAGAATTTATCATCATCTTTGTCATTTTTTTGACCGACGACGAGGTATGAGAAGATCGCAATAGTCAAGACCTGTAAACATTAAAGAAAGATAGTCGAAATTATTAACTTGAACAAAATACATATGCTAAGGTATTTGCGTAAACCGCATACTAAATACTTTACAGATAGCACTGAAACAGAGAAAAAAAAACACGTTTTAGCTTGCAAAGTGCATTAAACGACAAAATTTGTGCGAGGGTGACATAATATCAATTGAAAAAATATGTTATTGTGCGAAAACTAGTGGAGATGCTGCTGCTACATCAAAATTTAAAATTTTACAATGACCTCCAGTTTGGAAAAACTACAACGCGGTCCTGTTTTATAAAGTATCTTTTCAAGATTTGAAACACATTCAATTTTTCAGCTAGCCCACTTAATAATAAACCAACATGCACTTCAACTAGTGATGGCCAACAATTGTAATGTTTGACACCGGCAAAATATGTCACCTTTGCTCGTTAGTATCAAACATGCGTTGTGATTGATCAGCGCTACCTCGATTATCTAATGCAGGCTCACAGAAAAACCTAACACACCTAGAGAGGTGCTTTCTTCTTCTAAACCTGAAAGATAGTTGACTCTATCGAGTTTACGGCACGATATAATATTCAACGATACAATTATATGTTCCATGTGTTTCTAATCCAACTGACGTTTGGCTAGCGCTAAACAAGCGTATATAGCCAGATACAGATACCTTTGGGTTTTCGGCCAAAAAGTAAGGCTTATATTTGAGTATTTCATTTTTAAAATTAACAGATCGATTCATCGGAAATCGTTTTAGTTTGACATATTACTAGTATTGATTTTTCATCAACCTATATGGATAGATTGTGTGATTTACTTAAAAGAACAAAATCATCTTGGTTGTCGTTTTGAAAATCGGAGAAGTCTTCTCACCACATCGTACATCTTCCCTTGATATCTGATATTCACTTTTATAACTGTTTTGCTGTTCCGCGATAAATTCGTGCCTCGGTGCAACGAGGCTCCTACTGAAAGGCTTCATACTGATCTCTGGCAGGTGTCGTAGAATGTTCTATAATTTTTGAAACATTTCCTTCAATACACTCTGCGATACCTAAAACGACATGACGTAAAACATCATTTAATATTCAAATGAAGAACTCGGTGAGGTTCTTCATTTGAATACTTCACTTCACCAGATTACCTTGAGATTTAAAGAACCGTCGGTTATATACTAGATTAGATGCGTTACGCAGAGGGATTCGAGGCATTTCGAACGTAATTTTTAGTCATTTAGCTGCTGATATAGCCGTTTTATGACGTGACCACCTCGAGAAAACTTTTTAGTTATGAACGTCAAGTATGATCACATGAATATTGTCGCACTGGCTCCGTGACAAATTAAAATAATCGATGAACTTTAGATACAATATATAGTCGATCCACGCTAAAAATGGCTTCAGATAATTTGGACCGAAGTTTTTTCGTGTTACTGCCAAGATTTCTTCCAACATCACATAGTAGACACTTCAATTTCGCACTGTATATTGTTCAAGTACGCACCACTATCCAACTAAACTCAAACATTTCTCAGATCAAAGCAGATCCTCTCAGATTATCCTATTTCAATTGATTTTCGTAACGGGTTGAAGAGTGATCTATTAAAAAAAAAAACACTCGAGTCACTTAGATAGGTCTGTTTTATAGACGGCGACTCAACCGCGCTCAATGGCTCAGTTTGGGGCCTATGAATGTAAAATGAATTCATCCATCCCCATCCATTCACGAATTATCTCCGATTCATAGTCACAGTCACCTTTAGGCACTCCACATTGATTTGAATGATTTGAAAAGCGACGTTTGACTAGAGAGAATCAATGAAATTTGGGCTGTACCAAAATAAGCCATTTTGAAGGATTCACTCTCAATGCCTGTATGGCGTGAAATGAAAAAATCTAATGCAAACCTTTTAATCACCTGATATACAACTCTTTATTGTAGGTATCATGTCTGTACAGTTTCAATAAAACCACAAACATTTTCAAAAAAAACTAGCCTCAATTACACATCAAGGAATAGGATATTTCATATGATGGCCAGTAGGAACCAGCGCAGACTATTCTTAACAATTACTACTGGCAAAAACCAATCTAGCAACTATATATTGGTTTTGTCTATCTTCCCATGAATAAGATCTAAAAAAATGATGTTTGCCAATGATGTTTGTTTAATCGCCAGAGCGCCAGATCTGTTACGAGCAGCATCACTGGCAAAATGTTGCCCACCACGGATGCTTTATCCTGTAGAAAAAATTATCCAGGTTTTCCTACTAAGCGTAACGTAGCGCCATCTACAGGCTTTCGTCGAAAAAAACTAGAAAGGGATACTTTGAACCTTTCTTGGTATTCTAATGTAATACTTTCTTCAGGGAATACATTCTGTTGTACTGTTAAGCTGATCAATCCGACAGGACAAAAAGTATTAGCACGATATCGTGTCGTGGGCCGGAGATGTAGCTTTAGCCGACCTTTGGCAAATGACGATACAAATACGCGAACTTATGTAGATCTCAATTATCACCCTGTTTAATGGGTCGTTCGTGCCGATTGAGTGCATATCGCTCACACGAGAATCGATGCTTAACAGGATGCTGGCTAGAAGATTTTAATTTGATTTACATATTATATATAAATCGTTTTTAGCCGTTGTATTGTTAAGAGCTTTCGCCTGTTATTTGCCCAGAATTTAAATCTGCCGGGCTTTTTTCTATTCGATGCATGTAAGGGGCGCCTTAACTAGTGTACGTCTGCCAATATTGCTTCGTGCACGCTTATAGTTGGCATGTTATTTGCAAATAATAAAGCAATATTCTAAGGATGAGCGGTTTAATTCTTGAATTAAAACGTCATCGCTGTAAGTGGTCGTTATATTGAACAAGCAAGGTCATTGGTAAATAAACTTCTAGCACATGTAAAAAATTTCGTTGAAGTATCTGTTTTTGTTCAGCTACAGTCTTAGAAACAAGCCTGGACGTAGAAAGAAAAAGTCTGTTAGACACTTTACCCTATATATATATATATATATATATATATACATATGCGCCGTGAATCTTAATAATCTCTTAGTTCTTAAATAAATGTGACACAGATCAATTTATATATAAGTGTGCCTGATGCCGATTAAATTACACTAAACCGGTTGCAGCTTTGTGCCAAAAAATGAATCCTGCAATTGGCACCTGTGGGGCATGTCCAGGGACGATTGCACTATTTTTGTTTTCTTTGGGTTGCGTCTTATGTCGGCAAGGTTTTGGCTTGAGGCTATCAAACGAGGCGACGTTAGCATTTACTTTAGATACGTAAACGCAATTCAAGGCCCAGCTGTCCTACGAGAGGCCACTTCTAACTCGTCTATAATAAAAGAGAGGACGTCGATAGCTTTGTTTGATGAGCTTGCTGAAGCTATCGTATATTTTTTAAGACTTTTTTGAGGACTATCAAAGAAGCGCACTGGAACAACAGTTTCGCTAACCACGTCAACGCGGCCGCTTTTGCTGATATTCGGCCGATAGCGTGGTCCGTCCGCGCATACTGAGACTCGCGAATAGAGCTGGGAATGGTTCGGTGAGAAGAACTGATTTCGTGAAGGCCCATATGTGCTACCAAGGCAAAAAACGAGGACACTGTGAGACACAATGCCCCCATTCTTGCTTTACAAACAACGAACGTGGACACGTTGAGATATAAAGCCCCAAACCTCGAGTTTGCCTGGAGTTTTGTAAACGCGGCCCCGATGACCAGTGTCGACCTAACGTTCAGTTCTCACTCGATTTTCAACTCAGGGGTTAACTTCGCCGCTTAATTTTTTACGCTGGTTAATTTTACCGCATTTGGTGACATCGGTTCGATTCGTTCTACATGGCAAGGGCTCGAGAGTCTACGTATTTGCATGATGCCTAGTGCGCTCTGACGTTTTAATTAGCATAGTTCACGCAGCGGTCGATGACAACCCGAAAAAGCGTTCCTCAGGGTCGACAAGTTTGCGAAGGATTCGATCGTGGATTAGCAGTTGCTGTCAAGACGGTTTCAAAGAATTACAAAACACAGTTTGTTATACGTGTCGTGCAATCGTTGGAACACTTAAAAAGTGTATTCTACGTATTATAAATTTGAATGAACTTTGTTGGGTCGTATTCATGGCAGCTATGCCTGCTAGTGGAAGAAAGCTTGTTTTTTCTAGGATAAAACTATACATTCACTAAGCCGGAAAACAGTCTGTTGTTTTTGCAATTTGAAGAAATAACAACTGTTGTCCAATCTCTTAACGCAAGACAAATTTCCACAGACATTACAAGCTTTCTTTTTTTGCCTGAAATCGACTGTCTACCTCATTGCTTGTTTCGACGCAGCCTCCAAAAATCCGAAGGAGATTTCCATGAGCCAATACGGAATATCTTTAGTAGGATTTAGATTCAAAGGGCTTGAAATCGATCAAAATAGTACAAAAGACAGTTTTTAACAATCGTGGACTTTTGATACAGAGCTTAGAGGCAGGTTTTGAAAGAAAGGTACTCTGTTGAACTTCGTAGCCATTGTATTCTTGAAACGTTTTTTTTGTCCAAAATTTCGTTTCGATAAACTTCTTGTGTAGGGCAAATTTGAGCGACACTTTAATGGGTTGACATCTAGCAATATCGCCTAACGCACGGCTGTTGTCAGAATTTATTTGTGTTTTAAAGTGCTATATAAAATATAAGATAGCACAATCTTGCATTAACTAAACGTCACTCTGACGTAATATGTATGCCCGCTGATACTCGAGATATAACTGAAGTTTGACTTTATTTTCATTTTAAGGTAGAAGTCTGTCGTTTCTGCCACCTTTGTTATAGGCTCGAGTAAGTTCATAAGCAGAACTAATCTACCCAATGTCCTAGTATATACCAGAAAGATGTGGCACACAAAAAAAAGTCCCAATGTCGGCCTAAAAAACGTAAAATATGGAAGATATATTTTTGGTGGCAAAAGAGCAAACATAATGACTAACAATATTTCCTGAGG